GAGGAGAGAGAGTGTGCGCGAAGTTTGCATTGAATAAGAGTTGCAGTGTTTTGTGTTAGAGCTCTGTCTTTGACTCCATATATGATAATCGTATCCAAAAAATACACAACAATTTCAGTCTTGTATTGAATATTGCATTGAATTTCATATTAAAAGCCAAAAGCGTTGACTTGTATTGCATTGTATATTGTATTGTGTTTTTGCCATTTGTTATCCATAGGCCATACTTATTAATAGTGATTTTTAATACCTTGGTCATATTTCACATCACATACAAATGGCTGATGATAATAATGATGAGTTCGAGTTCGAATACACCAAGGTATGTTTTGGTGGTACATTTAGAAACACCATGTTTATTATTGTTATTTCGCATACACTGTATGTGTATATCGTTTGTACAGTTAATGTCAACGAATTTGTATGCATACAAATTGTGCCCTCAAATGATTTGTTAATCATTTACCTTATTGTGTGAATATCCCGGATATTTATTTACATACCTATACTATACATGTATATTATGATTATATGTACAGTACGGGTAAAAATGAAACTGTTTAGTGACAGTTATTTTGATGAAATGATCCAGGTGGTGTTTGATGTTGGGTGTTGTTTGATATTATTGGTGATATTGAATATATCAATGGATCAATGACAAAATAAAATTCAATTTAATTTATCTCATGACTCATTCAAAATGATAGCTAAATGGCTGTTGAGTTATAGATATATAAAACTCTCGCCTATTTATTAAGCGCCCGGTGTTTACAACATTGTATTTGTTATTAATTAGTGATTATTATTGTTATAATAATTGTTTATAATTTATATATCGGTTATTATCTGTATAATAAATACCTCGTGTGTGTCCTTATGGTTGCTTATAAAGGGGTTAGATATGGGGTAACCAATTGAGGGGTAGGTTTTTAAGGGGACAGTAGGGGGTAATTAATGTGTTTTTGTTAGGCTCTATGTATTGTTTATTGTTATGTAAATAAAAGTCTTTATCATGTTTTTAATTATTGAGCACAACCTGCTCTCTCTCTCTCTCTCTCGGATATTGGATAACATTGTGTCTAAAATACTAGTGTCTATGAAATAAAGAGTTTTCTCCGGAAAATAAAAAACAAGAAATTCATTATTCAGGAAGTTTTCCTTCAGATATATTGGGCAGAATATTAGGCACAGATTTACCATGAATTGCGTTCACTACATAAGTAAGTTATTTAGGCGTTCATTATAACGGATAATCTGTGTATTGTGTGAATACTCTCTCTCTCTCTCTAATCAAGTATTGTTTTTCAATGAAAACTGATTTTTAATTTACGTGAAATGGCATATATTTCAGCACTTTTATAAACACCCTTGACTTTTATTTTATATTCACCATATTGTTATTTATTTAAATGAAATAAGCATATTTTGTATCATTGACATTTATGATTTACAATTATTTGTTTGTTTTTTGTATATTCTGTGCTCAAGAATATTCATTGGGTTTAATTTAGCGACCTTTTTTGTGCATACTTTACACATGATAGAAAGTATGAGCTTGGTGAATTTTGTTGTACATTTGAAATTTAATTGCCTATTGTTTGTTTGTAACCCCCATAGCCCACGAGCACTGTATCCCACGTGACCCGGCAGTCACTGGTCAGTTACTACCACCAGTTATACAAAACACAGACAAACTATATCTCACTTATAGCTAGTAGTAATAGTTTAATAACTAATAGTTTAGTTAACTATAATATAGTTATTAGCTTGGTTAATATAATGGTTAGTTTACAAGTAGTATGTAATTTAAGGTAAATTAATATGAAGTAGTAGTGGTGTTAAGGCCTTTCCCTACAAATATTCTTACCCCGATTGAAATGCCGGGCAAAACCGGGAGCATCTCTATTAACTGTGCTTGGTGGTTGGTGTTCTCACGCGGCCGTAAATATAACACACTAATTAGTACATAAGTACGATAAGAAAGCACCTTAACACATATTTGTACCTTTAATTATGAATAAAAATGCGCCTAATCGCATAATATTTAGTGCACAAAAAACAACCATGGTTCCGCTAGAACAGTCATGCGGTGCCTTATTTGATACGGCTTTTAACCGCCACCTAAAAAACCACGTGATAGATTTGTGGGCAAACTCTTGATTATGTATACATTGTGTATATATTTAACGTAAATCAATAGGCAATTACTGATGTTATTATTACCAAGAGTTTTGGTATATCACACATATATCACGTGATGATTCTCACTAGTGCTGTATTGTATTGTTTTGATACAACTGTTAATCAATTAAATTCAAATAATAATTAACCAATATTAATGATTAATGTGTGTTTTGTTGGTCACTCTACCCGTAGATCACGAAAACGACGCGAACCATAAACCAGCGCCGGCTGTCGGAGCGCCAGAAGTCGGTAGAGTCGCCACCCGTAGAGCAGCCGAAGCTGAAAATGCTTTACGGCCGCGATCTGAAAGAGTACGACAACGTGGATGTGGAGAACCTGTTGGCGCAGTTGTCGGCCGAAGAGTTGGAACAGTTGAGCGAAGAGGTGGACCCCGACGACAATCTACTGCCGCCGTCGCAGCGCTGCAAAGACCAGACGTCTAAGTCGGCCACCGGTCCACTGAATCGCAAAAAGTTGTTGACTTTTCTCACAAAGTTCGCCGCCGAACAGGAAGACTGGCCCGAGTTTAAGCAATTCCAGCCCGGAGTCAAAAAAGGTATGATTGGATGCTTTCGGGGGAACTCCCGGAGCGCTACATATTTTTTGCTAACAATTATGTGGTTTTAATACGGATTTTATGTGTGTTTTTTAGGCAAAATATTTATCCCCAAAGAGACGGACACTCCGGACCAGTCGTCCGACGAGAAGATAATACTGGACTTAGAGGACGGCGCGGAACAGGCGCTGGACGACGCGTCGGAGGCGGATCTGGTAGACTTGGCGGGCATTCTGGGGCTGCACTCGATGCTCAATCAGGACCAGTTCCACAACTCTATACTAAACAAAGGCCAACGCATTGGCGACAAGTTTGAGTCGATAGTGAAGGCGCCGACGCCCAAGAAGTTGCCCTTCGAACCGGACAACATCACCGATCCGGAGGCCACCGCCAAACAGGTGATCGCCAACGACCCGAACCTCAAAGAGCTTAACTGGAATAACATTAAGTTTATTCCTCGCGAGACGTTTAAGAAGATGTTCGACGGCCTCAAGAATAACACTCACCTCCAGACGATTCATCTCTCCAACACTGGCCTCACCGATGGACCCGCAGAGGTCTGTATTGTCTGCCGTACCCCCAGTCGCCCCCTCTTACCCGCCCCTCCCCTTATGGGTGCTCAACCATTGTCTGCCACTGTGTAGTGAACTCTCAAACTCTGGGATAGGATAGGAATTTGTAGTTTTATTTTTGTTTTTTTGGTGTTTATTAATAGCATATGTGATGTTAATGTTGTGCCGTGTTTTTGGTGCGATAATAATAGATATGCACTGTTTTGTGTAATTAATGATTGCTAACAACAGAGTACACTATATATCCCGTTATAATGAAGTTAATTATTAGAAGTTTTGTTTTTAGTTTTTTCTCTTTTTGGCGATGAGTTTGCTGTAAAGTGTTTAATGATTTAGTTTTTTAATTAGTGTTTTGTTTAATGAGTTTTATTTATTTTTATAAATTTATTAATTGAATGTAAAATGAAATTTATTAATTGATTTGTCGTTTTTGACGCAGAAATTGGTGGAAGCGCTCAAAGAGAACACAACGTTGCGGACGATAAGTCTGGAGAGTAACTACTTGTCGGGACCGATGTTGCGGACACTGATCCAGTCGTTGCTGGCGAAGCAACGGATACTGGAGTTCCGGGCGTGTAATCAGCGGCCAATAATTATGGGCAATCGGATTGAGATGGAAATCGCCAAAGCGGTCGAGCAAAACGATACACTCCTACGGCTGGGCCTGTGCTTTGACGTGCCCTGCGCTCGCCAAAAGGTGACAGATCATTTACAAGCCAACAACGATAATATCCGCATTAATCGAGTATATAATGTGCAGAGATAATTTGCAGTTAGCAACTTTTCACCCACACGCGCGTCTATATAAATATTATAATAAATTTTAATTAATAATAAATTTGTCACTTTATTTGTACACTAATTGACTACACATTTTGATTTTCATTTAATTTTTTTGATTTTTTTTTCAATTAATGGAAAGATTATTATTATTATATATGTGTTGTAAAGAGAGGTTATATATATAATATATATAATTACAAAGACCGATATTAATTACCATATGTTTAGTTTATATATTTTAATCATGGTTTATTTTTAAGTTTTATTTCTAGGCATTAATTACTGCCTAAATATCGGCCGATTTGTTCGGTCCGTTGTTTTCGCATTGATTTTATACATCATTTCATTAATTATATGTATTTTAAATCAAATTTGTTACACATTTGAAACACACTTAATGTCCCCAAATGTCTGTCAGTGAACATACCGTACATACAAACACACATACAGTACACTATATTCTGTTTATAGTGAACACAATCAGCGATTAATAAACACTAATAATGTGATTAAATTGTGTTCAATATATGCGGATATGATAACTATAGTACACTATTATAACTAAAATATTTAAATCAAACTTCTTTTTCTTTATAAACATTATCTAAATTTAAAATTAGATTTTGTTTTATTTTTATATATTTTAAAACATATTAATTATTCATTTAGTATTTACAACAAAAGACAAAATGAATTGCATTTATATTTATGGGCCCTTAAAGTGCATTTGTATCATATATTTATGAAACAATTACAAAAAAATACAAAATAATAATCTATTGTAATTCAAATCATATTTACATTAATAATAATAATAATAATTTTCATATATTAGTTCGTATAATACAATCGACTTTTTAAAATTCTGTTAACTACTGTTAATACAATTTGATTAATTAATAAATATATAAATATAAATACAGCATGTGCTAACTTAAATTATTTATTAATTAAATGTGAAAAATAGCATTAATTACAATAATCGTGATAAATATTCGGGATTTATAATATCCTTTCTTAAAGTATCGATAATAAGTTAATTTTTTGAGATTTTCTTAATATCAAGAATTCACTATTCAGTGATCAAATACCATGTTGTAAAACACAGTACACTAATTACATGTTATAAATTAGGATGATGAAAAATTGGTGCTTAAAAATATAAAATAGTTATAATGTTTT